GAGTCATTCTATATGTAGAGTACTTGTTACAATGTCGGTGGACATCTCTGAGTGTTTACGACGAACTCGAGTAATTTGCACCTTTTCTCTAACTAAAGCATTCTATGTTGGTCTGTGTGTTGTACTGTGGCGTCTCGTGAGTCATTCTATATGTAGAGTACTTGTTACAATGTCGGTGGACATCTCTGAGTGTTTAGGCAACAACTCGAGTAATTTGCACCTTTTCTCTAACTAAAGCATTCTTTGTTGGTCTGTGTGTTGCACTGTGGTGTCTCGTGAGTCATTCTATATGTAGAGTACTTGTTACAATGTCGGTGGACATCTCTGAGTGTTTCGGCAAGCCGGCGACGGTGAGACTGTTCCTGCCGCCGATAGCGTACGGCGAACTCGAGTAATTTGCACCTTTTCTCTAACTAAAGCATTCTTTGTTGGTCTGTGTGGTGACTTGTGTCGTGTGGTGAGTGAATGTACCAACTATAGATTACTCTACCTAAAGAGTATTGTATTGTTACAATACAAACAAGTACTTTGAATAACTACTACTGAAAGTTAGTCAACTTTGTAAAGTTATCGATCACTGGACAATTTATCAATGAACCAAGTTTGGTACATTGCTCAACAACACATTATATAAAAAATCTTGCTAGATTTTTCAATACTGGACAGTGAAATGTCCACTATAAGATCTCAATCTTGACTTTGATAACATTTTGGAGACCGGAGCTAATCTGATCAATCTTTATTTACTCAATGCAACGAAAAATCGATTCGGCGGCATTGCATAATAGGTATTAGGTACACAATGGAAAAGAAAGCAAAATCGTTGGACCGAAATGGCTAGTACACTGGTCAGTGATCCGATTGCCCAACATAGTAGTGTAGTGGCCACTGGCCCATATACGTCTGTTTATTTGATACATTATTCACTGTGCCCACTAGTGGAACGAAGTGCCTTACTCTGCTACCAAGACGGAGCTTCTAAGATTATATTTTGAGTTTACTTATGAATTTGATGAAAAGAGAGCGTAAAGATTTTTGGAAGATGACTTTTAAATGTATGTATTTTAAATTGCCAGATAATTACTTGTCTGCATTTTAATTTTGAAAGTAAATGCCAATCTATGCAGTGAGAGGCCTACGGCTGAACAAAAAATATAACAGGAGACTCTATAAGTTAATATAGTTCTGCCAACTTACAAATAGGTACTAGCGGCCTGTCACTTTCACCCGCTGCATTTTCCCATGGGAATAAGACGTTTTCCCGGCAAGTACTACTCATGAATTACTCTATTTCCGTTGCGTAGTTTCGGAGGATTTCGGTGTCCATGACAGAGAAACGCAAAAAGCGACTTTAATTTATACTACTTATGCATGTATTGATATTGATGTAACACAGCACTTACGAATTCAATACATGTTCTGATTAGTTTTATTGCATTACTTGTCCGTTTTTTATTTTAAATGCACAATACATTACACTGAAATTAACGTGCGTGCAGGTATCAGCATGCAAGGCAATCAATTATTTCTAATTGAATTATTACGCGACGAAAATGGGTAAAATTGTTTTAATAACATTGAAATAGTTTACTCAAAAATATTATGTGTAATTTGCTTCTTAAATTTTTGTAACATATTATTATAAAAAAGAAGTTTTTTTTTTTTTATGTATGTAGGCGATACACTTCTAAACCGACCGGACCGATTTAAAAAATTCGCCATTAGAAAGCTGCAACGTCTTGTGACACATAGGTTATGTTTTCCTTCCTTCCTTTACAGCCACAACAGTCCACTGCTGGACATGGGCGTCCCCTTCTCGGGGGGTAGTTTTTACTACAGGAAAATATTTTCTTTCCACTGACAAACGTTTAGCAGCGGGTCAAACCCTCTCAAAAATATAATCGATTGTAATGTAATGAAACTATAATCGATTACGGATAAACAGTGTTGAAACTCTAGCAGTGTCGTTATAAAAAGCGTTTACGCTGTCGTGTGAACCGAGCGTAACAGCCGAGTATAATGTTTCAATCGATACTTTACAACAATAAGTACTGCGTAGGTATCTTGTGATGTCTTGTCATGTTTTGTTTTGCGTGGTTTGTTTCACGTTTGCTAGGTACTGCAAGGAAGACCGAATCTAAGGCATTACGACTTGTTTTTTTTTTTTTACTAAATTCTTTTATTTCCTTGAACTTTGTTTTGGGATATTTTTATAGTACATAGCTACAATTGGTTTGATCATATTTTGTTTGTAATTAAATATTAACTAGCGGCCCGTTAGCGGTTTCACCTGCTGTGTAGGTAATCACGTCAGACGTAGTGTATATGGCCGTCTTTTACAGCCGTTTGCCCTCTGCCTACCCCGCAAGGGATAAAGGCGTGATTTATGTACGTACGTATGTAGGAAATGGTTACCTATACAATATCGTACACTGCAATAAAAAAAATACTGGCCACTAGAGTAAAACAGTTAACTTATTATTCAGTTCGAACAATGGCTACTATACCTACAACTTATGGTACAGTAGATACGAATGTTATTGCTGCGGTACGTGTAAGGAATAACAATTGGTTAGATATTTTATTTGTTTATATTATAGGTATTAAATGTATAGTTCTATTGCTGTGTGGTGCCGGCATAGAATAGCATCACCCCATATTAAAAACGGCCATTTACCCCACGTCTGGCAAAAGCTTGAGAGTCATTCAGAAGACTGTGTGTCAGTGACAGTTTGTCAGCCTGTCGCCTAAAAATGCAATACACATAAACTCTCAAATCCTTTAGTCGCCTCTTACGACACCCAATGGAAAGATATGGTTTGATGCTATTCTAAGCCGGCACCACACGGTAATTTTTAACTAACTCCGCTGACTCAGCGACCCAAAGAGGATCTTGGCCTCCGAAACGAATTCTCCACTGATCCCTGTCCTGCGCGATCTCCTTCCAGTTGCTAGCTCGAACATTGCACAGGTCAGCCTTTACCACGTCTCTCTAGCGGTACCTGGGGCTCCCCACAGGACGACGTCCTATGGGACAACCCACGTACGCTCTTTTTGCTCACTGATCCTCTCCCATCCTTTCTACTTGACCGAGCCAACTGAGTCGGTGAGCCTTAGTCTCCCCGATTATGTTGGGCTGGGGCACTAGCTCTTCGATTTCAGCATTTTTCCGTACTCGCCACCTGCCATCATTCCGGTAGTTATTAACTAAAAACTATTGTTATTTCCAGATGGCACCACGGCGCAATCTCTCGCGAGCGAGCCGAGGCGCTTCTCTCCGGTTCAGCCGATGGAGTGTTCCTGGTACGAGAGAGCACCAACTTCCCCGGAGACCACACGCTGTGCGTGCGGTACCGGGGCCACGTGGAGCACTACCGGTCAGTATATCCGGTTATATCCGGTTCAGCAGTGTTGCTAGTACGAGAGAGCACCAACTTCCCCGGAGACCACACGCTGTGCGTGCGGTACCGGGGCCACGTGGAGCACTACCGGTCAGTATATCCGGTTATATCCGGTTCAGCAGTGTTGCTAGTACGAGAGAGCACCAACTTCCCCGGAGACCACACGCTGTGCGTGCGGTACCGGGGCCACGTGGAGCACTACCGGTCAGTATATCCGGTTATATCCGGTTCAGCAGTGTTGCTAGTACGAGAGCACCAACTTCCCCGGAGACCACACGCTGTGCGTGCGGTACCGGGGCCACGTGGAGCACTACCGGTCAGTATATCCGGTTATATCCGGTTCAGCAGTGTTGCTAGTACGAGAGAGCACCAACTTCCCCGGAGACCACACGCTGTGCGTGCGGTACCGGGGCCACGTGGAGCACTACCGGTCAGTATATCCGGTTATATCCGGTTCAGCAGTGTTGCTAGTACGAGAGAGCACCAACTTCCCCGGAGACCACACGCTGTGCGTGCGGTACCGGGGCCACGTGGAGCACTACCGGTCAGTATATCCGGTTATATCCGGTTCAGCAGTGTTGCTAGTACGAGAGAGCACCAACTTCCCGGAGACCACACGCTGTGCGTGCGGTACCGGGGCCACGTGGAGCACTACCGGTCAGTATATCCGGTTATATCCGGTTCAGCAGTGTTGCTAGTACGAGAGCACCAACTTCCCGGAGACCACACGCTGTGCGTGCGGTACCGGGGCCACGTGGAGCACTACCGGTCAGTATATCCGGTTATATCCGGTTCAGCAGTGTTGCTAGTACGAGAGAGCACCAACTTCCCTGGAGACCACACGCTGTGCGTGCGGTACCGGGGCCATGTTGAACACTACAGGTCAGTACAAGCTCTTTAAGCAACGTCCCTCATATTTTGTGCCCTTCTTTGGCAACTACCGGCATATACCCGGTAGACATAGATCCGTTCTTCCCAAAACAACTCGTAAGCCCAACCGCGCCCGCTCGCCCGTACGTACATGGATCATGTTATGGTTTTATCTTTTGTGGGCCGCAAACTAATACTGACATCAAAACCTGAAGAACACCCATGATTTCAGATCATCAAAAATTATCGCCTTTCTGCTAAGTAGTGTTAATCAATATCATTTTATTGTGTACTTTTATTTGTAAATGTACTTATTTTATTACGTTTTAATTTACAGAGTGAAGTGGGCAACCGCACCGGACAGCCAAACACAACGTCTCACCATTGACGACGAAGAATTCTTCGACAACATGACTGATTTAATACATGTAAGTTAATCATATGAAATTTTGAAAAACCTATAGAAATGTTATTATTATTATTATTTTCTATTTTCATGGTCGATTCATGTTTCTAAGTCGTAAAGGTTGCCAGATTAATTGATAAAAATTATCGTAATAATTTATTTATTAATGGTTGTCTAGACTTATGCCGTGTGGAGCCGGCTGATATCATTACCCCATTTCTTAACCTTGGGTATCGCTGGAATTTCACATGTTGTCAATTTACAGCATTGAGCTGAAAACCTATCACAATTTATAAATGAAAATAAGAATTTTGGGAAATGTTAACGTCGGCTGGGGCTTGACCCGGGACCGTGGGATCGGGTACCGTCCCACTGCTCTGCCAATTGAGCTACCGGCGCCTAGCCGACCCTCATAAAAAGTTCAATCTCTTGATGCTCGTATTGAAGCGAAGATTTTTAGCGACACACTAGTAGTAGTTGTTTTACATCTTTAATCACAATTCATGATTTTTCTCTTATTTCCAGCACTACTTGCAAGACGCGGACGGACTATGCACGAAGCTGGTGCGCTGCTTACCCAAAGCTGCTCCAAACGGCGCCAACAACAATACGCACCAACCACCCTACCCGCCGCATCCACAGGTACAGTCGGTAATAAGAAGTGCATATAGGTACGCTGAAGTTATGCACTTTTGAAATCGTTTAGTTTGCTTTAATTACAATAAAAATTCGAACTTTCATGAATTTTTTTATGAAGATACGAACCATAACATCCGTGATATGTGGGCTACTATCTTAAACAATGCACCACTCGATCAATTAACACTGAGTGCGAAATTTTGTTACCCATTTTACTATTATTTATTAATAGAACGTGTTTGATTAGTCATCTTATTCTTTTGCTACACTCCGTTCACTAAGCGCTTCTTTGTATGTATGAGTGGGTTTTTGCTTCATACAACTTTGGAATCAAAGAACGTGTGCATAACTTTGTCATGTCTATATGGACTTTCGTCAGTGATAGTATTTACTGATGCTATTTTATCAATAAATTCGACACCAGTATTGATTGAGTCGGATATTATTTTTCCAATATGTTCTCATTTGTGTCGCCTATAAGACTCACCCGATATACTCTAATGGAAAGCTTGCAACGCACACCCATGATGATATCATATCCTAAACAAAAGTTTTCGTATTCCAGCAACCGCCGCCATACCCGCCGACGCCGCACGTACCGGCCACACACTTCCAACACACGTACTCCACACAGCAGCAGCCGTCTATAGATCAAACTGACGCAGCGAGCAAGTTTGTTGACGCACGTAAGTCATTTTTGGTTGTTTTTATCATTGAAGGATTTATTACATTGACTCCAGACTGGGACATATCTCAGATAGAAGTGTGCTCTGTAAGCGATAAAAATTGTGAAAGAAAGTGAAATGTTTTTCTTTACACAAAGTATGGAAAAGACGCGCGGGGCGCCTTCACAGATGGCTCACTCAGTACTAGCTACGATTTTGACGTTTACTGTCAATATCAATAATCAATAATTATTTATTAATGTCTTTAACTGAAATCTCAAAGAAACTCGAGGTAACTAAGAAGATGGGTGTTGTGTCACGAACGTCGTATTTCGTGGTTTAAAATTGGCTCAGTATCATATGACGTTCTAACATCAGATTTTGCTGTTCTTATATTTTCACAAAAAAAATGAGATTTTTGTTAGTAGTAACCCTGGCTACGTAACAAATGACAATCGCGAAAATCCTAAATAGGGCTGAGTGAACCTTCTCTAAACTTTCTATTTTGTGATAGCAACCCTGGCTATGTAACAAGTAACAATTACGAAAACCCTAAATAGGGTCAAGTGAACCTTTTTAAATCTCTATTTTGTGGTAATATCAACACTGTTCTCTATTCCAGGCTGGATTATAGCGGAGCGGGACCTCGAGATCCGCGAGAACATCGGCAAGGGGGAGTTCGGGGACGTGATGCTCGGCATACTCAACGGCAGCCAGAAGGTCGCCGTCAAGATACTCAAGGACAGAGAAGCAGCTTCTAAATTCCGCGCAGAGGCCAGCGTCATGGCGTGAGTACCACATACACCAGCCCACTGTTGGACACGAGATGCTCGGCATACTCAACGGCAGCCAGAAGGTCGCCGTCAAGATACTCAAGGACAGAGAAGCGGCTTCTAAATTCCGCGCAGAGGCCAGCGTCATGGCGTGAGTACCACATACACCAGCCCACTGTTGGACACGAGATGCTCGGCATACTCAACGGCAGCCAGAAGGTCGCCGTCAAGATACTCAAGGACAGAGAAGCGGCTTCTAAATTCCGCGCAGAGGCCAGCGTCATGGCGTGAGTACCACATACACCAGCCCACTGTTGGACACGAGATGCTCGGCATACTCAACGGCAGCCAGAAGGTCGCCGTCAAGATACTCAAGGACAGAGAAGCGGCTTCTAAATTCCGCGCAGAGGCCAGCGTCATGGCGTGAGTACCACATACACCAGCCCACTGTTGGACACGAGATGCTCGGCATACTCAACGGCAGCCAGAAGGTCGCCGTCAAGATACTCAAGGACAGAGAAGCGGCTTCTAAATTCCGCGCAGAGGCCAGCGTCATGGCGTGAGTACCACATACACCAGCCCACTGTTGGACACGAGATGAGAGGCATACTCAACGGCAGCCAGAAGGTCGCCGTCAAGATACTCAAGGACAGAGAAGCGGCTTCTAAATTCCGCGCAGAGGCCAGCGTCATGGCGTGAGTGTTTTTTATAGCCTGTTCGATGACCCACTGCTGGGCAAAATCCTCCCCTCTCTTTTTGCGAAATAAAATACGTCACATTGGTAGAAGGCTGGTCATACCCACGCCCTCTGGCCATGTGGATCGATAGCTTAAAGATGGCGGCTGGTAGGGTCTGGAAAAAGGGAAGGCACGTGACGAGCACTGGACAAAAATTTAAGATGTAACGGAATATTGAATCACTTAGTCAGCATTTAAGCTGAAGCGATGAGTGCCGAAGTACCGATGGCGAGAGGTCCTGGTTGTTTAACCTTCATTTCGGATCATCAGGTATGGAAGTGTCCATACGACAACCATTTAGGATATTTTCGATAAGATTTCTTTTAGGATTTTAGTCCAGATAAAATTGAATTTTTTTGATATATTTGTTCCAGGTCGCTGAAGCACGACAACCTGGTCCGTCTACTGGGCCTGGTGTTCAGCTCGAACGGCAGCACCTGCATAGTGACGGAGCACTGCGCGCAGGGCTCGCTGCTCGACTACCTGCGCTCGCGCGGACGACACTACGTCACGCAGCGCGACCAGATCAACTTCGCATAGTAAGTAAAATTTTATAGTGAGTTGACGTTCTGAGCACTCGCTCCGCTCGCGACACTACGCGTGGGTTCCGTTGTTTTGAATGCTCGCTTCGCTCGCGACACTACGCGTGGGTTCCGTTGTTTTGAATGCTCGCTTCGCTCGCGACACTACGCGTGGGTTCCGTTGTTTTGAATGCTCGCTTCGCTCGCGACACTACGCGTGGGTTCCGTTGTTTTGAATGCTCGCTCCGCTCGCGACACTACGCGTGGGTTCCGTTGTTTTGAATGCTCGCTCCGCTCGCGACACTACGCGTGGGTTCCGTTGTTTTGAATGCTTGCTCCGCTCGCGACACTACGCGTGGGTTCCGTTGTTTTGAATGCTCGCTCCGCTCGCGACACTACGCGTGGGTTCCGTTGTTTTGAATGCTTGCTCCGCTCGCGACACTACGCGTGGGTTCCGTTGTTTTGAATGCTCGCTTCGCTCGCGACACTACGCGTGGGTTCCGTTGTTTTGAATGCTTGCTTCGCTCGCGACACTACGCGTGGGTTCCGTTGTTTTGAATGCTTGCTTCGCTCGCGACACTACGCGTGGGTTCCGTTGTTTTGAATGCTTGCTCCGCTCGCGACACTACGCGTGGGTTCCGTTGTTTTGAATGCTCGCTTCGCTCGCGACACTACGCGTGGGTTCCGTTGTTTTGAATGCTTGCTCCGCTCGCGACACTACGCGTGGGTTCCGTTGTTTTGAATGCTCGCTTCGCTCGCGACACTACGCGTGGGTTCCGTTGTTTTGAATGCTCGCTCCGCTCGCGGCACTACGCGTGGGTTCTGTTGTTTTGTGTGCTCGCCTGATTTTCTAAAAAGTTTTAAAAGCATAACTGATATTATAACCTATATAATAGATATTTCTAACCTGTGTTGCGCGTTGTATCTCTTACCACAAATAAGAAATTAAGATTCTGTTTTTGAAAGGGCAAATCCCTTACAATTTGGTGCCGTGGCCAGGATAGTAGAATATGGATTTATAAAAAATTTCGAAAGGCAGAACCTGCGACTTTCGGCATCTAAGTACTGCCGATGCTTCTACCAAGTCGAAAAAATAAATTTTACAAACATTGCACACATAACATGGGAAGTCGTGTTTTAAATGTTGGTATTTAGTATGGAATTGGTATGAAAACCGAACCTTTTTCTTCTCCAGCGACACGTGCTGCGGCATGGAGTACCTGGAGAAGCAGCGCGTGGTGCACCGCGACCTCGCCGCCAGGAACGTGCTCATCTCACAGGAAGGCACGGCTAAGGTAAACCGTATGTCTGTATTATACAGTCACACTGCAGCATGGAGTACCTGGAGAAGCAGCGCGTGGTGCACCGCGACCTCGCCGCCAGGAACGTGCTCATCTCACAGGAAGGCACGGCTAAGGTGAATCTTATCTCGACTTATCCATGCATTAATAACAGCACTCTGTAATGCTGTTATTATTTATGTTCAGTCTATTCATAGTTGAAAAATATTCTAAAAAAAATTATCCTTATTTTATGTCTGTGCAAATGTTATAAAGTGGATATACATTTATAAATAGGCGCAGCCACACCAAGCGAGACTGCTCGCGTGCTCATTGCCTCGCGGCATACGACCAAAAAATTACGTGGCTCAAAATTACGAGCCAACGCAAGCTCGTGCTCGGGCGAACACGCGCGGGCCGAGCCAACATCTTCGCGCCTCAGAAGTTTACTTTTTAATTTATTTAGGCGTCCAATTGGGCCGAACTTGGCTCGCCTGTGTACGAGTGTATGCCGCGCGAGGCAAATGGCACCAGATCAGCCTCGCTAGCTCGTCTGACGACGTCTAATGACGACAATTTCTTGTCCTACATTTTTTCACCCTTATTCTAACATTTTCAGATCACGCTTTAAAACTAGTACTGAATAGCATAATCTTCTTTTAGGTAGCGGATTTCGGTCTGGCGCGCACGGACACTAGCGGCATGGACGACCCCGCGGACGCGCTACGTCTGCAAGCCAAGCTGCCCATCAAGTGGACCGCGCCGGAGGCACTCAAGTACAACG